ACTCACCTGACGACATTTTTATTAGTTCAATGCTCAAGTCTGTTACATCATATTCCAACTCACAGTCTCACATTTTTTTTCATTTTCATGATGATACTTAAAGCATACATACATACATAATAATGTCGAAATTTTAAAGTACATGCAGATTTACTGTACCTATAGGAAGGTAGAATGTACGTATTTGGGGAGATAAACATAATTTCTATTAAACTTCAGTTCATTTCAACTTTACCAGACAGCATACTGTTGTTATTTTTCTTCGTAATAATTAAGCACTTTCCTGCTCCGAACGGTCAATTTCCGTTCAAATGATGGGTATCGAAAGTGGTCTTACTACATTTAAGGTCATCATCATCATCAACTTATGAATGTCTCGAATATACAGCTGTACACGCATGTACATCTTTATTTACGGAAAAATGAAGACGGGTCAAGGCGCAAACTTCATGACACTACATGAGTGAAAATAATATTATATGTTAATCAAATTTTAAACTTTAGTTAGTGGCTAGATCCGGGATTTAGTCACACAACTAAATTCATAGTTAATTTGTCAATCCATGCTTGGTCAAATTGAGGCAGAACAATTTGCGAGTAGCGGTTCGTTCATTAAAATTCTTTTTGTGTACAATAATTTCAGTTAATTAAGTTTCCTAATTTTAGGATGATGTCGAGTCGAATTCGAAGACAATTTTATAATTACAGATACCCTACAATGTCGCATGTACGCTACAGGATTATCGGGCGATGACCGGTGAAAAATGTGTCAAAGCATCGCAACTTCGAGTGCACAGCAAATATCGGGGCTGCGGATAGTGTAACTGTGCCCGATATTAAATAAATTTGTAATTTGCCGCTTCGTTGACAAATCGGATGAAGAGAAATGCGCTGTGGCACGGACAGCGCAGAATATGACTAGTAGCCACCAAAAGCGTACCGGATCCAATCCAAATGCTCTTAGAAAATATTATTAATGCGGAAGAATAGGTGTTTGTTACTCGACTCCTGCATCACCGCCATCAAAATAGGGCTGGTGGTAGAAGGGTGAAAATTGAGGGTTGTACGTATTTTTAATGCCACATTATAAAAAAAAATGTACAATAAAATAAAGTTAGGGGTGGACAACCCTTATCTTACCTTATCACTTAGAGGTATAAAAATAGATAGAAGTCGATTCTCAGATCTACTAAATATGCATATAAAATTTCATAAAAATCGGTCAAGCCGTTTCGGAGGAGTATGGTAATTTACATGTGGTAAGTATGGTATTTAAAATAACATTGTGACACGAGAATTTTATATTAATATATAAGATAAACTTTCTATTTTAATAATTTTGATATTTGAAAATCCGATCATTAAGACTATAGCACACACTCATGGAGCCTCGGTGCTAAGACCAAAGCTATTAATACCCGCTTACGTTGTTAAACAAAGGAATATGAAGCTTAGAATGCAATAGCAAGTAAGTGATATATTTTGTTCACTCACTCAAATGGCATTTAATATTCGTTAATGCAAACAAAACGTTTATTAATAAGTACTAGCCGTCGCCTGCATCTTCGTACGCGTGGAGTTAGTTAGAAATTAAGGTTCACTGCTCGTTCCCCGTAGGCGATAGCGTGATAATATGTAGACTATATGTTGCCCCGACTTCTTAATAATATTCGTGCCTAATTTAATGTAAATCCATGCAGTACTTTTTGAGTTTATCCCGGACATACATACAGACAAGCAGATACAAATTCTAAACACTATATTTTTGGCTTCGGTATCGACTGTAGATCACACCCCAAGTATTCTTTTAAAAAAATATTCAATGTACAGTTTTGACTTTCCTACTATTTTATTTTATGTATAGATTTCTTAACTATTGCAGTTGGCAATACTGCAATAGATGACATGCACATTAGTATTGCATAGTTTTTAGCTTGTCCCGAAGCTTGGCATAACACAAGCGAGTGGCTTTGTGTGGTGAGTGTTTGTTCTTTAAAATTATCTTGCGTCAATTATACACGATGATGTGAAAGTAGCAGAAAAAATAACCGTTTCATACCAGTGTGCACTTTATGATAGTTTTCATTAAATAGTGTCTCCATTGTTTCCGAGTGCGCCAAATGAGAAAATTAAGTTTCTAATGACGCTTACAAAGTCTTGGAAAATAACCTTGTTCCACGTTGGAAAAGATGCTTAACTTTTCCCTTTATGGGAAAAGAAACTTAGGCATGTTGCTTCCGATGTCAAATTGAATCTTCGATCAACAATAATCACGCTCAGAAATAAATGTAACATGTAAAACGTAGGTATACTGCTTCCGATATCAAATTGGATGCTCAAAAAAATAATGTAACGTTTTCATGGTTTGTGTAGTACGTATGTTTATTTTTTTTTCCAAAACCGTCATCATGATTTTTGACCTCCACAGATTTGGGTATAGGTCGATAGGCATCGATAGGGTCGTACTTAGTGACACGGGCTATATTTTTTTTGGAAATAAGTCCTCTGTGAGAACATTATAAACCTTATGCATAAATAAAAAAAGGGTGAAGCATGTGCTAACACCACGTTTACTTAATATTTATTAAAAAAACTACCGTTGCGCCAGACAACTGATTTAGAAACTAAATAAAAAAGAAGTTAAGAAAAGGTCACTGCAGTCGGGGTTTGTCTTTAATTAGGATTAAGTTAAAAATATCTCCGCCGCTTAATTTCTCAAAAAATATTAAATTACAGTTCCACAAAGCCGGCTTTGATTCTATTAATCTTGGTATCTGTTGACTGGGAACTGAACTGGAAACTGTTTGTTACCAAAATAAGAGAAAAAAAATATTGTTCCACAAAATTTATAAATTCTTTTTTCTTTTTAGCTGCTTTCTGGCAGCACAGTTTGTTTTTTAATTATATAGTTTTTCTTTTACTTAAGAACTCTCGACAGTCGCCTGTGTACCTTCCTCAGACCTTACTAAAATCATCAGACATTGCCTAGAGACTAGGAAAAGGCGCCATCGGTTTTAAGAAGACAGCGACATTGGGTTGGAGTCGAAGTAGAACCCGAAAAGTCTAAGGGATCTTTAAATAATTTTAAAAGTGCTATCCAAAAATATATTACATTGTATATTAAACTAGCAGACAATGGTTGCGACGCGCACATCTAGCGTACAGCAGTTCGATGTTCGAAATATTGTAGACGACTTTTTACAAAAACACAATACCTATACATATTTATAAATATTCACGCCCAAATTTAAGTGTTTGTCTGGGAAAATAATTTTTGCAAGTATTTATTTCATGCACAAATAGGTGAAAAATATAGAAATACAGCAAATAATTTTCGTAACATAACATATAAAAAGAATATACTTAACCGAAATTTATAGTTATTCGTTATATGCTCAGTATTATTATGTGAAAACATGAGACACATTTTTCTTGATTCGAAACTTAACTTTTCTTCGACTTAACATCAGGTGAATTTGAGGTAGGTATCTGCTGCGCCTAGCATAAATTGATTTAAATCAGCATAAACAGAAAAACTTACGTTAAGCAGCTCGCAAAATTAACGTGATCCGAATTTTGCAACGCAACCTAACGCAACTTGTTTGTCGCTGAATAGTCAACCGAGCATTTGTTTGGTTTCCAGAGATCACCTTTATAAGTGAATTAGTCACACCTGGCACGTGATTTTTCGCACATGCAAATGAATTTATTGTTATTAGTAAACAAATTTAACTTACGAATTAAATTAAATAATAATGATTAATACTCTTTCTTTTCATTTTATTCTTAGTTTCATACAAAAGATATAAACGTGCTATACTTACTTACCTATTCTACATACATGTTTTGTGATCTTGCCACTAATGTTTCAGAAAATACGTAACAGGTGTACTGACCAGCTGGTGGAATCCGTTATTTAGATTAGCCCTTATAAGGTAAGGGTGAATCACCCCTATTATTTCTCTAAAACATGTATGTAATGGCCTAGTAGAGACATCTATGAAAACACGTAAGAATTTAAAGTTGCTTTAATTAAATATTTAGCATGCCTTGCCTTTCTCGTCTACATACATACTTTTCCATGAAGAACACAGATGGCGTTGCATGGATAAATGTTAAAAAGAAGTAGAGTTTACAGTTCGACTAAGATTTGTGGCACCTTGCCGAAAAGACCAATTAAGAAGAGAAAATCTTATTATAAAAAATAGTATTTTTGAAGTTGTTTCAGAAATTCTAAAGAAAATACTGAAAAAATTACAGATAATACATAGTTCCTGTAGATTACACGGTAAAATAGGAAAATTTATTAAATCAACCTAGATATTTCTCAAAATGAATCAGACACTACAATATAGGTAGGTACAATCTACTTTAATTTTATGATAAAAAATATTTAAGAAAACATCGATGATCAACGTGAAAACCTCTTCAAGCGAGTTTAATTCACTTTTTCGGTTTTTTCTTTATTATTGCACCCTCGATTGTAGCGCGCGTTCCAGTGGGTGCGCGTGCGCCGGTCACGCTTACCAACTGACCCTCCGCTTGCACCCCTTTAAAATTTTTCTGTGTAAAAAACAACTATCCTTTTTGACGGGATTTCGGGACTTTGAGCATCGAAAGGATATGCGCTCCGATGGTCGGATGACACATAGTTCAGTCGAGTTAGCTTGAGAACAGGGGTGCGTGGAGGAAATCACGTAATTATATAAGTACGTACTTACTGAGATTACACTTGTCGTATGCACGTAAGAATGAGAGCTTCATATTTTAACAAAGGCGGTCAATGGTAGTTGTTATTACACATAGCCCTCAGATCTGTGATGATTAATCAAAACAGACCAGATCAGAGTATTAGAAGTATCGCGAATGAACTATACCAAATTTATTGCTTTATCAAAACCATTAAGCTGGTAATTTATTCTTTATTATTTGCGATGGAATGTTAAGTGTGTCTCGCTCGAGCAGTTATGTACGATTTATATCCATTTGTGGTGTCACAGGTGTATGTATCTATTGTTTACATGGCGTGCGAGCACCTCAATGGCGGCTACTTATTGGGGGAGGGGGGCGGTGACCCGGCGGCCCTCCCCCCCGCACCGCGCACCATCGCGCGGTCGCTGCCTGCCGCTTCGGCGCCCGCGCAGAAAGTGGAGCCAGTTGCTCGCCGCACAGCCTCCAGTTTGTTTACATCCGATTAAAATATTTTGTGATGTAACACGAATTGATCAACCGGTTGGCACCGCGATTCTAAATTCGGACACTCCTGAAAAGTGACGTGATGTGAAAATTAAAAAAATTGCTTAATAAATCTTGTTCGCAATCTGTGTGGTCAGTGAATGCTTCGGTAAACGGTGTGACATTGTCGTATTGAACGTATTGTCGGTTCGTTCGTAGTTGGCCAAAATTGCACGGCTACTGTCTGCAGAGCGATATTTCCAATATTTTCACAAAGACAAGTTGCAAATTCCCTTGAATCTATTTAAATATTACACGAATTATTTTGTAACGTGTTATTCTGTTTTGTTTAACTTGTATGTTAACTTTAATACATTAATGAATTTTCACGCCGAGAACGGAAGAATTACTTTAACTAAAGCTTCTTCAGCAATTTTGAAACCACTGTAAGGTGCAAATTATTGTCTGGTATTTTAACAAAAATATTGTTATGGTACACAATTGTATTGTATGGCAAGTATTGCATGACTGCACGCAAGTGCATTGATCCTGCTGGCCATAGCAACCTAACACTGCTTTGTTAAGTAGGTAATTGTAAGCATAAATTCTAAACATACCTATTACTTACTTACCTTGAGAATAGATTTATGCACACAAATACAAGCGACTTAATCAGGTCAACTGAATTTCTTCTTCAAAGCAAAAAAAGAATTCAGAGCACGTTTTAAGTACATAGATAGATATAACATCGGTTTTTTCGCCACACTTATAAATCTTTCCCCACACTAGCTTCTACTCACGGAGCACCCCCACTAGAGTCCGCATACAAGGGCAAGCGCTTACGCCAAGCTTAAGTAGTATTTTACCTATGCGTGAGGCACGCCTACAGACGTCGCGATACATCGTTTCATTCGGTAACCGAGCGTTGGTCGAACTGCTTCTCTCGTTTTCGTGTTAAAAAACTGTAAAAAATGCCGTACTGTGCAATTAAATTGTGTGGAAAGTCGAGTACAACTTCCAGTCTTAAAAAAAATGGTATTACTTTTCACTGGTTAGTTTAAATGCATTACAAAAAGACAAAAATACTGTTATATTAAATTGGTGTTAATTGTATTTATGTTTTGGTGAACGCGTTGATGTCTTTTTACACTATCCCTTTCTCGCATGGGCTACATCATATTGCTAGTGACTCAGACGCAGCTCATGTCTCAACGTGTAAGTTTATCGATAAGTTTGTCGGCTATGGAAATTGAAAAAATAAATAAAAACTATTTATTTCATCGTATACAATAATAGATGTCATGAGTATACAACCAACAGTTTTTATTTGACTTCAAACATATCGTAATAAAATTGAAAAAACGCGAAAATTTGTATGCGTATTTGTTACTCTTTCACACTAAAACGGTTAAACGGATTTGTATGAAATTAAGTGCGCATAATTTATGACCTAGATAAAGACATAGAATTAACGATATTAAATACCCTAGAAACACTACGAGCGCTCCAAATGTGTCCCCATCAAGAAGTACTTGAACTCCACTCAATCGCGGACCGTTGAAAAGTCAAGATGCCAAAGAGTTCCGTGAAAAAATACAGAAAAATACTAATAGTACGTAAAGTGTCGTTTTTGCGACGGGTAGCTAATTAATGTTTTTTAATTAACGCCTTTAAAGCAAATTTTATTGTTGTAATACTTACTATAAACTGATTTAATATAAAATATTTGTGATATTCAAATGCATGGTCGGTTATACGTCGCCCTTAGCCATCTCTTTTCTTCGCGATCTGTACCTGCTAACAGCGCATTCGGAATTGCGCGCGAAAAGTCAAAAAAAAATGGGTGCGTGTACTTATGTAGGCGCGTGAGAAGTTATCCTTCTTTGGCATCGTTTAAAATTAGTTTTTAATTGCATGCAAATAATTAATTACAATAAATTAATAAAAAGTCTGGAAAAGGACACAGTCAATAAAGTTCAGTTTTAATTGGAAAAAATAAATAAATAATCAAAATATTCAATTAAAATCGCTACTGAATATAATTTATTAGAACATATGTCATTTGCACTTGTATGAAACTCAAACACGTATTCCGAATATACAAACTAGAAACATGTGGATAAATATTATAAATATGAATACCTATAACTGTTACTTTATTACAAAAAATAAAGATGTGGTTTTTGGTTCTACTACACCAATGGTCAAGAGATGGCGCTGTAGTCTCCTGAATCGCGCTTTGGTTCCGTTGTTCCAGATTAATAAATACTTTTGATAGGCCTTCACAATGCAGTCGTTAGCACCCACTAAATAGAGATTCTATTTCTATTTTGTTGGTAGATTTTCTTAATGTGCGGTAAACACAAAAGTAACAGCATGAAGTTGGTCGACCTAAAGCGACCAACTTCATGCTGTTAATTTTTGTGTTACAGTGATGCGCGCGCATCTTAAAATTTCACTCTCATCATTTTTTCATAACGCGCCTAAAGAAGTATAACTTCAAAAATAAGGTCTATATTCTTTCACACATAACAATAAATCGTAAAATTTTACGAACTTGACGCATGCATTTTAATTAAGACCTTATGCCGTGTGCATTAAAGGTGACTTTCAATGTTTAAATAAGGAATTATATTGTTTTTGACCACGCGATCATCTTACGGACCTCCGTGGATCGTCCAATGTACCTTTTGGACACGTTTCGGCCACGATTTTGTTCGTGTTGTTGTATATTTAGTTAATATCGTTGCATTAATACTTCTTGCCCTGGGCGTGGTTTTTTTTGTGTTGCTTATATATAATTTAGTATGTAGTTACTAGTCGCGTCATGTAATTAGAACACTGGAAGAAAGTGGAGAGGGTATGATTACGCATTTGCTTACACTCGCGCACCAAAGTACTTACTAGGCATTTATTCTAAATTGTTTATCGATAGAAAATATCGATATTTTCTAAAATCGATCTTACCCTCATCACTTCGCTGCACTGAGTATATGATCTGACGTTGACGCGTCCAATACAGCGGGGCTGACCTCTCTGCACCCCACCGACTTTGGCGATTTTGATTCCAAACAAAATTTGTGTGATGCGGACTCTAGTGGGGGTGCTCCATGCTTCTACTCAACTGCAATCTTCGTGCTTTAACAGTTTAACTCGACCGCAATGAGAATGGTTATAATAGAAATCTATCGTAACAGTTCGATAGCGATAGACGCCTTAATATTGTCATAAGATTATGGTGGGACTAATGGAAACCATGGCCTCGAGATCAATGCGACATTGTTGTTTGAAGAGTGTGTCGGTAACATAATAATTGTCATCGATCTAGATACCCAGATCCCGCGCTGGAGAAAGCAATGTCACGTCTATAAGTATACTGTGTAAACTTTTCTAAATTTCAATTAAAGTTCATTCATGAGATGTGCCTACCTTTATCTACATAGATAAGCGTAACTTTGCTTCAACTTTCTAACATTATATCTCCCTTTCTCATTTCCATTACACAAAGCAATTTGTTTACGTAGTAAAACGATTAAATTTTATTAACTTATTTAACAAGGGTATACATCATAAAAGAGGCAATTGTCAGCAAGGTTCCCATTTAGCTGGCTGGAAACTCTTAATTAAGATTCGTTAAGACAATTCCCATTGCTTCAAAATGAATTTTCACTCCCACGTACCTTTTCAACAACCTTCATAAGCTGTGCCCGATGACAATGGAGTTAGTTTAGCAACCGCTGCCTGTAAACTACAATTGTCAAGTTGGCATACAACACCACCGTCCGTTGCGACTTGATTACATGACCGTCATAAAATTTGTTGAACTATGTATAATACCCACTTCGACTCATGACAGATATTTTTACGTTGTTAAATTAATATAATCGATGCAACAAACGTGACAAAACAATGCATTATGATGTGTCGTGTGATGACAATTCTGAAGATACCTACATATAGGTATGTCACATTATGCGAAACTGAAAAATGTGCAATAAATTAATTGCTTCAAATCAAGATTTTTACTTAAGGAAGGCACTTTGATAAAATTAATTAAGTAATTTAACTTGAAATTACGAAGCATTATAAAATGTACAATCATCCTTTTAATCAAATAATGAATTTGCATTAATGTACGAATACGCTAGTCACAGTCAAGTACTTAGTTTATATCCAAGAATATTTATTACTTTGTGTGATGAGATGACTGCTGGATGACCGACACTTTCGGGCAGCAAAGGTTTTGTTGTAATATTATTTCTCAAGAATATTTCTAGTTAAAAATAACTTCTCATTTCAAAATGCATGGTCAGTTTTCTGGACTTATTAGGTTAGCTTAATGTAAATTCCAATCTGAAAAAAACTGGAATTACAAAAAGACTTAGATAAGCATTTACAATCAATATATCTCTTCTAACAAATGTCAAACTTATGACACGTCCTTCGATCAGCTAACGCTATAATGAAAGCAGCCACTGGTCTTGACCATAACCGTGGAAAGAAAGAATGTCGTTTCTACATTTCGGATATCGTTAATGACACTATTATTTATTATCTGCGGTGATATTTTCACTCCGTAATTTTACTTTCTCCTGTGTCTAACGAGTCCCTTAATAATCAGAAAGTAAATAATATGTCTGCTGCCAAAAAATAAACTCCAAACGTAGTAAGGCCGTTAACAAACAGGATGCGTATTTTTTGTAAAATCGACTTTAAGAGTTTCTCCATCACTAACATAACATGATGTTTAAGCAGAAGTCATTTATTTTTAAATGCAATTTGAAATTTTAAACATCGCAGCAAACGTTGTTCTTCATCTTAATAACATAGTATTACTTCATAGTAACTCGCGTGGACTGATGCAAATAAGACAATCACTTTCGTTGTTATCGTAAAAGCACATCTCGTGAGATTCCGCATGCAATTTTGATCGTAGATAGAGCATGCTGGCCACTCCGCCTAGAAGTGAATGTGCAGAGGGGGGAGTTCAGATAACGATGGCTGCGATAACGGGAGGCCGTGG